GAATTATTACAATATTTTGGTGCCGAAGAAAAAAATCAATATGGTGTTGAACAACAACAAGAACAAAATACTGTACAAGTTTGGACATTTTCTAGTGCTATGCTTTATTCAGCAACAGTTATTACAACAATTGGATACGGAAATATCACACCAAAAACAACAGAAGGAAAAATTGCAACAATGGTAAAATAAAATTTTCTATTTTTCTTACATGAACATATAATTAAAGACATATAGATAATTTCAAAAACAAACAATCTAATTATATCTTTACTATCTTCGAATAAGTTCGTTATAGATATGTGCAAAATGGTCACGGTCCTATTGAGACTAGGACCGATTGACGATTTTTAATCAAGATTGAAATCAATTCTTTTAGACAGGATCCAGGATTCAATTTTTTTACTGATCAACACTAATTGTTTTTTAACCGAGAAAAAAAACGGCTGATCTCAATTACGCCTAGTTCTTTATATCTATCAAAGCTGAGAACATTCGTTAGTTGAAACAGCTAGAATTTTGAAAATTCGTTATATGTTGTACGAGATAGTACGGCATTGAGAGCCGAAGTGAGAAGAATTTTAACCTATACATGTCTGGTCATGGTCAGCTTCCACTATGGAGGAGTATCTATTTGTAAGACTACTAGACTCATGAAGTTTTCTATTTGAGAAAATTTTAATTCTTATGCAATGAAAAAATTTTCTAATCATGCCATTCATTACAATAAAGTACTTGCATTGTTCTATTAATAGTATATCAACAGAAAAAAAATAGCTGAATTGAATAGACTTTCTCCTACTTTTTTTTATGTTATCTTTTGAAAAATTTTTATTCTAAAAAATTAAAGTTTAAATATATATATTTTTTTTCTATATATAGATATATGCTATGATTGGTATACCTTTAATGTTTATGTGTTTAACATATACAGGTGATTTATTGGCTGATGCATTCATATCGGGTTATTCAAAAATGGTTAATTGTCTTTATCGACAAATATGTCGTGGTCGTTTAAAAAATTGTTTACCTGATGATACTAGACGAAGTTTTGAACAACCTGATGTAAGAATATTTTCTTTTATAATTTTTCATATTGGTTTATTTTGTTTTTATTTAGTCAGAAGGTGAAGATACTCGACACGTACCTATTGTAGCAACATTAGCTGTACTTGCACTTTATATAGTAATGGGTGCATTACTTTTTGCTCAATGGGAAAATTGGCATGTATTAGATGGAGCTTATTTTTGTTTTATAACATTTACAACAATTGGTTTTGGTGATCTTGTACCAGGTAAAGGTACAGTAACAGAATCTAAAGCAGGTAAAGCAGCAATGTGTGCATTATTTCTTTTGTTTGGTATGATTGTTATGGCCATGTCATTTAAATTAATGCAAGATGAAATTCTATCAAAATTTCGTCGATTTGCTCGACGTTTCGGTTTTGTTAAACGAAATATAACTGGTCCTGGATGAAAAATAATTATAACAATCAAAGGAAATATAATTTTATGTTCTAGGTGAATTTTTGTCAATAGGCTTTTTCATTGGTTTTTTTTTTCTTTTGCTCGTCTGTGATTCTTTATGCATGTTCTTTTTTTTTTTTAAATGTATCGTTTGTGTTTGCAATAATTTTTTTTTCTTTTTTTCATTTCAACATTGAAAGTCAAATAGTGTCATTATCACCATAACTTTCATATGTTTGTCTTTTCTTTTTCTTTTTTTTCTTTTCTTTTTCAGGTTTGTGCTCTCTTTTGAAACTGATATAATAAGTAGACATTTTAGAAAGTTTGAAATATATATGTACATAATATTATGAATTCTATGTTTATGTTTATTTATTTGACAAGGTTTTCATTTGAATAGGTTAACTATTAATATGATCAAATATTTAGAATAATTGATAAAAGAAAAACAGAATAATAATAATAATAATAATAAGCAAAACTAGTAGTCTAAACTAATTCATAGATTTAATTGCAATTTAGAGGAAAAAAAATAATAACTTAATACAATAGTCTTTCATGCTTTAATTATTTATATTACAACTACAAAAGAAACCAGATAATTGATTTTTACACCTAAGAAACGCAAATGCCTAAAAATAGATGTGTAATACAACACTATATTGATTTCTTTCGATTGATTATTAAAAATTATAATCACAAATTATTGAATTCACCGTATTGTTGATTAATATATTCAATATATCAGATCTCATTTTTCTCTTGCAAAAAAAGAAAATTAATTTCTACTATTCAAACAGCCATTCAATATCGATACAATTACCTTGGTTCTACAGCTTTTTTTTCTATTAATAGTATTAGATTTTTAATTGTCAGATATTGAATAACCATACCTAAAAGAAAATTATCAAGAGAAACCATTATTAAATCTATGTATAAGAAAAGCATTTGTCACGCAATAGTTCTATTTCTTTCAACAAACTATTAGCAATTACATTTGTCATAATTTACAGAACAAAGAAGTTTGATGAAAGATTCTTGTTTCATCTGAGATAATTTTTAATTTTTCAAAATAAATCGAATTTAATTCTATATGCTGAACTATATTATTCAATATCTTCAAAGAACTTAATTCATCAAATATATAATTTTTATTTTCAGAGGACGCTAGAAGTCGAATTATCTCAATATACATATGTACATTCAATATTTTAAATAAACGATTATTCTTTTTTTAACCTATCAAAATTTGATTTACATAATTGTTTCTTTAATATTCAATATTCTAGACTAATGATTTTTTTTTATCACCTTTTCATATTTATTTTTATCTATATAAGTGATTTTAACTGATGAGGTATTAATCGTTTGACATATATATGTATATGTTCATTAAATTTGACTTTGATTACTACATTTTCATTTGTTGTTATTGTTTAGCTGTCTAAATTGATGTCGATTACTTGAAGGCAATTATGCACTCAGCCGTTTCTCATACAATCATCTCTGTCTCGTTTTTTTTTTCTTCTTTTGCTAGGATCTGTTTGTATGTTTGCTTACCCCTTTCGTCTAACTCTCTCTATCTAACATACGCATATACATATACAAGTTTCAGATGACCTTTGAATGCGAAAGTATGTATGTATGTACACGTGTATATTGAACATCAGCTTGATGTGACACACAAATATAGTCTAACGAGAACGAGCAAGAGAGAAGAGAAATATTTCCTTCTGTCTCTCTCGCTCTCTCTCTCTTTCTCTTTCTTGTATTCTTGTAGATGTCGAGATAAGAGAACAGAAGAAAAATGAGAAAGGGAACAAGCATATCCGTCTTTCAAACGCTTTTAATTTGACACATATGGACAATGAGTAGTACAAGGAGAAAATTTTCTTTTTTTTTTTTTTTGTAAGATTATATCTGTTTAATCTGATGATAAACTCTGAATGGTATGTTAGAAAAAAAAAAGTCAAGCTATAGACAAATACATTCTTTTCGTTTGATTTGAAGCATACCATCCTTGTCAATCCTTCATATCTTGTTCACTTATCAAAATCCCTGAAAGGTGCTGAACGGTCGAAAAGTCCTTGTCTTGTTTCATTTTCTAGATGCATAATGGGAACGAAACTATACATACATACATTTATATATATATATGTGTGCAACAGTGTCATGCATCATGAACAATCAACAAAATGAGGTATACATGTATATGACAATGAAACATTCATACCATTGTCACATAATGAATGAAATAAAGTAAAATGAATAATGAAAAGTGAGACAGGCAAGATGTTAAAACGTGCTTACAAATCTTTTATACAGATCAGACGGGCAACTAGACATAATAAAAAGAGAAGAAAAAAATTATTTGTCTGTCTGTGCTAGTCGTTTATTTTATTTTATTTTTCTTTTCTCTTTTTCTCACTCGTTTTTGTTGAATGTCAAAATAGGAGAATAGAATAGTGGACGGAGGTCGAGAGGAATACAGAATGATGATTTATGATGTACCATTGACCGTAGCCAGTCGTTACACATCATCATTGCCCTTGAAAAAGAAAAGCAAGTACTTAGTACGGCATTGAAAAAGCAGCAGACGCCTACTTATGTATGTGTCGGTGTGTGTGTGTGCGCATATGTAGATGTGTTTTTTTTTCGATCATCTCAAGTTTCTTCTCTATAAATGCACAAATCTAAATGAAAATTTCGTTCTAGTTTCATAGTCTTTTTTTTCTTTCTTCATCTCTTCTATTTGAATTAGAAATATCCCTATGTTGTAATAACAAATTGTCATTCTTTTGAGTTCTTTTCGTACGTAAGCATATACATCTACATAGGTAAAGAAATCAATCGGGCATTATTGGTGATTTACATTTCGATGGTAGAATAAGTGTCCCTTGAATTTTTTTTTTCTCTTCATATTACTAATAAATCGAATACATCGTTGTCTATGAGGTATATATATATATATATACATACGTATATTCGATCATACGCACAATCACATACTATACACAAAAAAAACCCTAACCGAAGAAGAACGTTAATGATGACGTTGATTTTTATCATAAATAGATGTATATATATATATATATATATATATAGCGTACTGAACATTTTTGCTATACATCTCATTGCTCGTTTGGCCACAGCAGAAGAAGAAGAAGAAAAAAAGAATAGGTCTCCTTTCTCTCTGTCTGTATAACCCACATATAAATAAATTTGCATAAAGTTTCGTTGTCGTTCTTTTTCTCGTCTTATTCAGTATGGTCCATGATGATTATGATGATGATGATGATGATGATGATGATTGAGGTAGTGTTAGTATGTTGAATTTATTATATGGACATAGCAGATTATAGATCCGCCCTCAATCTTTCTCATCTTTTCAAATTAAGCTTTTTTTTGTATCCTTGAACATAAATGATATACCTATTCATGTATTTTCTTTTTTTTCCTTTCTTCTGTTTTCATATGTTCAAATAGATGATCACTAAATGATGACGTGATATATCATCATCATCATCAAAATCATGTCAACATTTCAACAAAATCAATTGAATGGTTTTTCATCAATACTTTTATCACCATCGTCAACAAGCAATACAACAATAACAAATAATAATCAAATAATTTTATTTGATAATAGTGATCAAGGTTCAGTTGATTCTGATTATACATCATTAGGTAGTTCGAAATTTTATGGTAATGGCGGTTCAACATCATCACTTCATCATCAAGGACGTTCACAATCATTTGATGAATTAGCATCAACAATAACAACAACAACAATACCAACACGACATTTTAATGGGACATTAAATGTAAATAAATTAAATAATGATCCATTACAATTTGTTAAAATTCATCCAAATCATGAATTAATTGAACGTGCACAAGAACAATTAACATTATTCGAATCACGAAAACGTTTACAAGAAAATTTTAAATTAAATAATAATCAACATCATACTGATGGTATTATTAATAATCCAAAAACAAATAATTTAAATGATGATGATACTGATTGGTCAAAGGTAATTATTTTCATAACTTTAGTTCATATTCCAAAAATCTTATTTAGTCTACGCTTTTAGAAAAAAAATACGAATTTTCTCTTTTTATCCTATAACAACTTCAATCCATTTAAAATGAACTCATTATATTTCATAAATATTTCATGCCTATATATGAAATAGTTCAAATCATATTTTTTTCTCATTTATACACGTCGAAGGACTTTTGAAATCATGACGGTTTTCTTTAATTTGTCACAGTTAATTTCTTTCAATGAAAATTTTTGACCTTCTTTTTCTCTTTTTTTTTTTTGAAAAAAAAAGAAAAGAAAAGTATTTCTTCACTTACAACAAAAAAACCAACTAAATGTTATTTATCTTTTATAATGATATATAAAAAATGTTAGAAATTTTTTTTATGATCTCATATTTGTGAGAAATCGACACCAAGAGACATTTATTATCACATCTTATCTTTCCTGTTGCACCTACATAACTTCATCTTTCTTTTCTTCTTTCGTTTTATGTGACATACATATATTCGAATAGGAAAATGTCTAAGAAAATCGAACAAATATTTTACTTAATTAAATTTACTTGCTTTAGTGTATATACATACCAAACAGAAATAAGCAATAGGTGTTACCTAATCCACGATATTTGTATCTTGCGTCATCATGGTCATCATTCTCTTTTTTCTTTTGTCTTTTTTTTTTTTTCTTCGCTTTTAGCAATCAATCAGTAAAATAAGTTGTTGTATTTGTAATAGAGATTAGAGAAGCTAGTATGCATGGAAGCGAACATAATATGCTTCATTGCTTTTGTTTTAATCCATTTTTCGAAAACAAAGCTTTTACTTCGATAAGAAAAATAATAACGGTCACAATAACATTAAAACAAAAAAAAAAAAGTAGAAACTTTATTTTTTTTTTTTTTGGTTGTATCTTTTTTATTGGTATCAAAAGACGTTGCTCTTTCCGCGACGACGCCGTCCTCCTTGCGATTGATGTTATTGTTTAAAGAGAAGAAGAGAAGTGAGAGAGAGAGAGAGAGCGAGAAGGAGAAAGAAGCAAGTCGCTTGTTGGTTTCTTATTCGAGATTGAATCAAAGACGTGTGTTCGCATAACTCGATTACTCTCTCTTGCTGTCTAAACAGTAGAGGAAGAAGAAGACGAAAAAAGAAAAAAAAGGAGGTTACATTCTTTCTTCTACTACAGTGTACACGACGCACCTTGCTCAAATACAAAACAAAAAAAAAGCCCAAAATTGTAGTGGTGCAAGTATAGACGACGAACGACGAAGAAAAAAAAACGAAGATATACATACATACATACATACAAACGAATGGTTGCCTTACGGCATACATTCAATTATATGATGATGAATATGGATCGTTCTCATTCTTTCTTTCGATGTCTAATCGAAATCAATTGAATATACAATTCAATTCATATTAATTATCATGAAAGGTTCGACAACGAACATAACATCAATACGAAAACCTTCTACAACTCCTACAACTAGTAGTATTACTGCTTTTGCAGCAACACGTTCAAGACAAAATGATATCTACGAGGATTATTCAGAAGTACGTTTGTGTACTCTATTTAAAGTTTCTTTTTTTTTCTTTTTTTTTTTTTCTTGAAATAGTATTTAATAAGAAACAGTAGTCATCTCTTATTACATATACATGTTTGATTTTCATTTACACGTTATCTTAGTTCAACAAAGTTACCCTTCTCCTTTTTTTTCTGCTCGTTATAATTCGTCATAGAAACAAGATTTGTCGAAATATAAAAACTAGTATTGATTGATACCAAAAAGAAAAAGACATCAGTGTTTTTGAACAGAAATTTCAAGAAATAAAAAGAGACAAGTAATGGAATTTTTTATGAGAAAAGAAACAAGACATAACAACAATTGATTTATTACTACGTTGTTTTCAAGATTCTTTTTTTTTTCTTGATTTCTATTTTTAGGCTGTTGAAAATTGGCGTCAAAAACGTGAACAAAAGCGTAAACAAAGTTCAAGTGTAATTCGTACTGAAGATGAACCAACAACAACAACAACAACAACAGCGAGACTAAATATTGAACCTTCACATCCTAGTCCTAAAAAAAAGTTTGAATTATTTTCATCATTGAAAGATTTTTTATTTTTTGATATTCTTTTTTATAGTTTTGATGTACCTGAAACAAAACCTAAACTACTTTCACCTTCACCTCCACAGATTAATATATCACCACCATCTACAAAAACAAATATATCTACTGGACAATTATCAATATCTAATCGAATTGAATCAAAAAGTCCAACACCTCCACGAAATCGAGTAAACATAAATTATTTAAATAAAGATTTGTTTTTTTGTTTCTATAGAAAATATTTTCTAGGGTCTAGGTAAAATTCATGAAATATTTATTCAAAAACCAATTGATATACGTGGTTTTGGTTTTAAACTTGATGGTGGTCCAGCACAAAATCGACCAATTTATATTTCAACACTTGAAGACGGTATAAAATATAAATCATAAATATAAAAGAAAAAGAACAAAAGTAATTTATTATCTTTTTTCAGGTAGTCCTGCTGATAAAGCTGGATTATGTATTGATGATGAAGTTATATCAATGAATGATGAAAATATTCAACATATGACATTTGATCAAGTACGAAAAATTCTTAAAGAACGAAATTTACGTGGAAGTATTAAAATGGTTGTTAAAACCTATGAAGGTAAAACCTTTCTTATTTTGTGAAAAACTATTTGGACCCCCTACAGATCGTAACAGACGTTGATATACGATCAAAGACTGTATATTAATAATGTCTCGTTATTGCATTTCTGAAAGGTTAAGAGTACCTCTTCCTCTTTTTGACTACTTCGAGTTTTCGAAGACGATACGATCAATTACGCTGAAAACTTTTACTACTCATATTTGGAAGTATTCTCCAAAGATAAAATCGGTCTTTTTTATTTTTTATTTTTCTATCCGAATTTTGTACGATCCTAAAAGTCAAGATCCCGATTTTGGCACCGAACATTTACATATTTTTCTCATAAGAAAAAGAAACAACTTAAAATTACCTCTGAGATATAGTCTTAGGTAACTGTAAAAAACGTTTTCAACCCAATCGGATAAAGTTTGATGAGGTTTCGTAATGTACCAGCATGTGGTCCTATGAAAAACCAGAATTTCTCAGAAAAAATCCACTTCAGAAATTTTTTGTTCCTCGAACACGTGTCTTCTTACTTTTAGCGTCTTCAAGAATCAGAAATGATCAAAAAAGAGGGTGGAACAGCAGGTTTCATCATGTTCCACATTTTTAATCTCATAAGGATTGTGCTAATAGTTTCTCTTATTAGATATTGTCGATGATAATTCTCAAACAGTTACAATTGAATATAGTCGAACACCATCGCCACAAAAACCTTTATCTAATTTACAATCAAATACATCCGTAACTCCGATATCTACAGCAACAACAACAAGCACAATACTTGTTTCATCAACGACTCCATCAAATGTTCAATCACCTGTTTATACATTTTTACCTGGTACTCCTCCACTTCCTCCTACGTCGTCTTCGTCTATTTCAACATCTGATACAATTCCTAATGTTCCTATTCATCAAATACCATCATCATCATTAAATATATTCGCACCAAAACCATTTCGTTCAACAGCTTCAATTAATATTGATACACCAAAAAATAATGAAACAGTAAGATTATTTTTTATCTTAATGATTTATCTTTAAATAACACAAAAAATATACATTTTGGAGAAAAGAGCTGCTCATTGTTTCACATACATTAGATGCATGACAATAAAATATTGTTGCTAAACAAACAAAAAAAAAAACCCGAGATTATATAATAGATATATTTTTCTTTTGTTCCATTGATTAAAAAAAATAAAAATATCAACAACAACGCATGCATGGCTATTGTTTTGTGTTGTTCAGAATTCCACTTATTCATCACCAATTGAAGCCTTTCGAAAGATGCTTGATCCATCAAACAGCATCAACAAAAATATGAAAAATGAGGTAGTCGAACATGTGTGATTAATAATAAAATATAAAAAAAAAACTTTTTTTTTATCTATTTAACTGCACGTCTTCTATTTCAACAACTCAAACAAATTTTTAATATATATATATATATATATATATGTATTTATGCACATAAAAATAAAAAACATGTACACTAATCATCATCGCTCTTGGTGTTTAGTGAATGATAGATCTTTTTTTTTGTTGCCTTATAATTCTCTTTGTTTTTTTTTCCATGACTAATTCATTTTTTGCGTCGTGTTGTTTTTTTCTGTCTCTTGAAATATTCGAATATGATTGTATTGTTAATTTAATCATTTTGTCATACAATGAAAAACATCACAGATGAGTAGACAATATTAAAAAAAAAAACTTTTTTTCTGTTTTTTATATTTCAGTATGTTAGTGCATGTATACCACATTAGAATATTTATTCTTCTTCTTCAAAAGAAAACGAAAAGATTCAATACTGTTTAGTATAGTTTTAAAAGTCATTAGATTTTATCATCTTGTTTGTTCTTCTGTAGGGAGTATGTATAGATTTCTCTGAATATTGGTAGTATTTCTCTCGAGTCTTTAATAAATAACTCAGTTTTCTCGGGACTTAATTTAGAATCAAGCTTAAAATATAATTATAATAGAATAGTAAAATTCAATAAAATATTTTCATTTCAATTGCTTTTTTTAATCCATAGTGAGATTCTTTCAATGGTTTGCACGATATACTAATGAATTCTATCATGCATGAATGACTACTTCTGATATTTATTACTACTACTACTACTGTTATTATTGCATCCTCTATATCTTTCTTTTTCTTGTTTATTTCATATCATATTACAAATCGATTTCATCGTTTTGTTCCTTTATAGACAACAAGTACTGTCGAACAACAATCACCAACTGTAACAAAAACAGCATCTCGAGATGTAGTTAATACGCGTAAATTCTCGTTTTTTTTTTCTTATTATATGATTTATCTGCAAAATTTCTTTGATTTTTCTCTTTCTTCTAGTTCTTTCTAATCCAACATTAATTTCATCAAATCTTATCGATTCAACATCACCTATAATAACTAATCCAAAACTATCACCACCACCATTAACATCAGTTGATACTTTATTACATGGTATATCAAATTTTAATAATAATGATGAACAAAATAATGATTCTCCTATTGCACAAGTACGTTCATCAGTTGAAAAAAAAATGAGTCAATTACAACAAGAGCTTTTACTTGGTTTTCCTCATACACAAACATCACGAGTATCATATATATATATATATATGAATTATTTTTCTTTTGTATACAAAATATTTCTTTATAGGAACAACGACCAATAAATATACCAATTGATTTAACGAATGCTTCATTATCAAATTCTTCATTAAAAACATCATCAGCACCATTTTCACCTTCAATTCAACAACAAGATTCAAATTTTAATAATAATAATCGAACATATGGTTTAAAAATTAGTCCCTATGAAAATGCAATTCATTATTTAGATTCACATAATCAACAACAATCATCATCAAATTATGATAAACGAGCTTTACAAGAATTATCATCAATATCAACAACAACAACAAATCGTTCATCTACATCACAATTATCTGATCGTACAGTTAATGAATTAAGAGTTAATTTATCTTCACCACCAACATTTCAACAACAACAACAACAACAACAACAACAAAAAACTTCTTTTCAATTAGATGAAAAAATTCCACAACAGCGTATTACTAGGTTAATATTTCTATAATAAAAAAAGAATTATAAATTAATTTTGAAAATACTCTCTTTTTATTTTCTAGTAAACAACTTCATACAACACTTAATCAAGCACCAAAAAAAAGTCATTATGACGATCATTCATGGATCACTGATGATCAAAGAAAACCAATCATTACTTCATCTGCGCCACCACCACCACCACCATCATTATCACAAGTATCTTCATATAGTAATGAAAGAAATGGTAGTAGTAGTAATCATCGACCTACGTCACAAACATCTCATCATCATCATCATCATCAAGAATTACAAATGGATAGACAAGTATCAAATCAATTAAATACATTTTATTATGATGATCGTACAGATGAATCTCAGCGTTATCAGTCACGAACTAATCAACAACAACAACAACAACAACAAAAAGATTTTGATCAATCGAATAATCGACATCATCGAACAAAACAATCAGCGTTAGTTGAAAGAAAAATTTATTTTACACAAATTTTAATTAATTATTTTTGTTTTTAGAAAATCACCTATTCGTACGACGATTAATAGTAATAATAATCGAGTTTTGTCTGTTAGTGGTAAATTACGTTGTTCAAGATGTAATGATGAATTAGGTAAAAAGAATTCTTTTTTTTTTATTTTCTATTTTTTTTTTGTTTGATTGGATTTTTAAGGTCAAGGATCAGCAATGGTTATTGAATCTCTTGGTTTATATTATCATATAGAATGTTTTCGATGTTTTGTTTGTAATATCCCTTTATCATCATCATTTGAAGGAACAGATGTTCGTGTACGAAGTAATCGACTTCATTGTCAAAATTGTTTTTCAGATGAAAATGGTAAGTGATTTTTTATTTATTTCATTATATATGTTATATTAATTATAAACAGAGATTTCCTTAGGCGCGTGGAGATCAAATGTAAGAAGAAGAAGAAGAAGAAGAAGAGTTTACTTTTCTTCGTTGTTTTGTTTTACGTTGTGCAATATTGCGTAAAATTTTTTAACGCTTCACTACATAACATTATACACATGAGCTGCATTATATTGACATTACATACTGTTACAACAGTGTTTTATTCAGTGTGGGGAGTATCTAGAGTTTGTCTGGTTGGTTTGGATCTGAAATTTTGGATCCAATGGATGTTATCGGTGTTCCTCTGAAGATCTGGTCAGCCTTTCCGAAGTTTATAGTTATTGTAACATGTGTCTATGCTCTCAAAAATAGAATGTTCGTTCTCCCGAAGTTTCAAATTACCTTTCTAGAAAAGAAAACCTGAATAAAACATTGTGTTATATTTCGAGTTTCATTAAATTTGAAAAGTTTCAAATCGAAAAATTCGAAATGATTTTTTTGTTTTGTTAAGCATTAATAATCGTACCAAATTTAAAAAATAAATAATTTTTTCTTAGAGAGATTAGGGATAAGTTAATTAGTAATATTCTCGAAAGTTTGACTAAATGAACTTTAAATTGTTATTTGATAATCCTTATCAAGCAATATACACGTTATTTGTAATTTACTAACGCGCATCGTTTTTGTTTTGTTTTTTTTCTTCACAAATACCAATCCCTATTACCCTTCGAACAAGTATTGAATTACTACTTTTTTTTCCAAAAAGCTTTATTATTATTTCTGATTAAAGCAATCAATTTGATTTTTTCCCTCTTTCCCCCCCCCCCCCCCCGCATGTTTTAACTAACAGCATAACTCAATAAAAGCGATTCGTTTTTTTTTTCTTAAACTAAATTTTTTTTCTGTTTAGGTGTAAAATTAAGTGCTGTCTAATATTATTAATTTCAAAGCCGTCCTTTCATGACTATATGCAATCAATCAATCATTTCGTTTATTTCAAATTCAATATCATTCATATTTGAACGAACATTCCACATCTATATTATTATATCGAACATGTGGTTTCTATTTCTTGTTCAATAAGAAGAACTGATGAAAATAAAAAAAAAAAACCTTTCTTCTTCCATTGAAATTTTTTTCTTTTTATCGTGTGATAAGTTCTGTATATTGTTTCGGTAACAAACAAAAAAGCGTTCGGTGTATATAAAAATTGATTGGTGCTGTTTTCTTTTTTTCATTGTATAGTTGTGTGTTTTTCTTTTCTTTCTTTTTTTTTTCATTTATTATAACTATACCTATTTGCAGAGACGAACAGTTTGTTTCTTGCTTGTTGTTACTGTTGCTACTAAGCTTGATTGATTCTTTCCTTCTTTTTTTTTTTTGTTTAGTCGTTTCTTCTTCCTTTCCTATTTTCAGTTTTATATATATTCCAAGAAAATGAAGAAACCGTTCATGGTCTCTCTGTTAAATTTTGTTTTTCGTATTGAACATATGGTGTAAAACGTAATTGGACAAATGTCGACCGCCCATTACGCTTCGATAGAAGAATACTGAAAGAGAGCTTTTTTTTTTATCAGTTTAAAGAAACTTTGCTCTTCTTTTAAATTCTCTAACTTTATTTTGTTATACATACATAAACAAAATAGCCAAACCATGATTTCCAATTCGGATTTCTTTTGTGGAACTCACATATTTTTTCGAAGAACGTAGTGAGCATAGGTCCTAGCAATCGGTAAGAGGAATGCCAATGACTAGAGCCCTACAGACAATAGATAACCTGCCCTACTCTGACAGGACAGACTGCAGGATATGAGTGTTGTAATCTATCAACTTGCAACTGATTTTGCACATAAGATATTGTCAAAATCTTTTCTAAAGTTATACAGTAAGAAAAAAGATAGAAATGAAAGAGAACTGATAACCAAATTACATTGATGACAAAGATATTCAACAGAAATATATATGTCACTAATCTATTCTTTATACATATAGTTATGCAAATGTATATGTAGTTTTCTAATTTTGAGTTTTATCTTATTCTACAGAACATAATTGAAACCATTGGTATTCAAAAAGAACATTGATCTGTAATATCTGCAATAAAGTTTAACATTATCATTAATAATGCACGAAAAAAAAAAGAGAAAAAATAATTTAGTCATGCATAATGACGTTATGTAGAAATTTGCAGAAAATGTAGAAAAGGATTGTGGTTATAATTCTAATGAAATTGATCGTTATATTGACACTAAGCTTTCATTTTCAAAAGATACAATATGTTGTTAGGACGATGGAATAAGCATCTGTTAATAATTCTACAACTTTCTTCATTAGCAAAGTCGTTGAAATACATTAATAATTGATATTTGTGAACTTTAGGGAAGAGCAAGTGATGAAATTGCATAACAGCATAGTGAATGAAAAGATTCTACTATGAATAACACGTTTAGTATTAGATAAGTATCCAGTGATCTTTAGAAATAATCTCTTATTTGAAGTTCCCATAAGTTCAGCTCCATCGGAACTTGTTTTCAGTTCATCAGGTTGAATATTGGAAAAATGAAGTCAATCATTAAATCCAGATGTTGTTGATAATAAGAAGTTTTTGAGATATGTAGTGTTGTTTTTTGTTTGCTTTAAGATTGAAATAAATCGAATGATATTACATAAAAAAATGGTATAAAAGTTTGGATCTTTCTCTAATGCCAATCAGAACAGAAGGGGTTAGATTATCAAAATATTAGTAGGGCAGGTTTCAAGTTGTCAAAATGACGTGTCCTGGAATCCTCTACCAATGACCATTGACTATGTTTCAATAGCAACTAAAGATAACAGACATCAGATTCCTTTTCTAGAGTTGCTTAGCAATGGAAAAAGGTTCTGAATAGCATTAATAACTAGACTTAGACTGTCCTAGAACATTCTAAAGCTTTCCTCGAAATTAGGATGGTTGGAATACGTTTGTCAACATAATATAGCTTTTGATTTTTGTGCAGATAATTTATATGCTCAAGTGAAATATAAAGATATAAAAAATGATTTTGTTAAATGTTTCAAATATCTAGAGGTCGACATGACAACTAAACTCAGACGAAGAATTTATATCTTAAATCATGTGAAAAAAAATTTTAAAAATCTATGACACTTCGAATTTTTTTATGAAAATACCTATTTCTCTAATTCAACTAAGAAAGAAATTCTTCCTTGTTTACGCTTTCCCATATGTTAGAAAGGATAATATTCAAAATAAACTCACTAGAAAAATTATGAGTTTGACAAAAAAAAAACAACAACAATTGTTCATTTGTTTTCTTCCAAAGACTAGAATCCAATGAAATAATAATCGATCAAAATTAACTTTAAAAACATTTATTTACAGTTTTGAGATCGTCCAGATTTGTGTACTGATGAGCAAAAAACCGAGAATAAGACGGTGATACTTCACTGGATAAAAACGAAAAATTTTCAAGTTTACAGGAGTCACTTCTATTTATTTATTTCCAAACGATGATCTCTTTAATTTGATTCTTGATAATTCACAAATAGATCATAAAAAAAACCAAACTACGACTCCCAAGAATTGTTCGAATACTTGCTAAATGTTTACTATACTAATAATTAAATTATAATCATGACGTATGAACAGGTAGATGACTATAGCTTTTAGATGCTCAAAAATCTTTCCTTATATTGTAAGAATTCATTTGCTAGAATAAAAAATGAATTGACATATCAGTACCATAAGTTCGAAATGGTTCCAAATTTCAACGAACAAAAGCTGTTTGTTTTATTCGAAAAAGATATCAAAAACAAGAAACATTAAGTTCAAGCAAAAATAAAAGGAAAAACGTCGTAATATGAAAATTTTAATCTAATAACACCATTTTTCGAACGTAAATTGGAATTAAATATCAATTAATAAACATATTCAGCTGATTTTTTTTTTATGTCGGAAAATCAAATGTAAAGATTCACCATAAACCTCAAATTATTCACTCGACTCTTTTTGTTTTTGTTCAAGGGTCTGTTAAAATATAATCAATCATTGATTGATAAATGTCTCGACGAAAAAAAAAACATCTTGCCTATTTTACATATAAAAAAGATCGATATCAAAACTCACTAGCAATCAATGATTCGTATCTGATTAATGCCGCCATTTAAGATCATATATATATATATATCGATTATCTTCTATAATGATGATTCTTACAGAAATTTAGTAGCATAGAAGAAGAAAAAAGTCACTAGAGAAAAAGATATTTTATCATCCGAATGACGTTAATCGATATCTCAAATTTATTAATGTTTAACGACGCATTGCACGAGCGAAAAATCTAAGTAGTAAATCATACTCTTTATCATATTTTATTAAAAACAAAAACGCCCTTCATCAACACTAGTAGTCATTCATTGATAATGACTTGTCATTATAAATGAGTCAACAATTGAGCAATAAAGTCAATCTATCATCAAAAAATGCACATATAACATTAAAGTGATAAGTGACGACCAGCCAAAGATGTTTCTAATTTACTCACAATTTTCTTTTTGAGACATGATTAGCAGCATTTGTTTTCTTTGTTATTATGATCCAAGATCAAAGAAATGATCGATTCAATGAATGAGAAAACGAAACAAAAAAAAAAATTTCTTTTTTTTTTAAAATCTTTTATCTACTATTATTTGTTTGAAAGCAAATATATGACAATGAAAAGCATCAAGAGATAATTGCTTATGGGAATTGCAATATACACTAAACAATCATTTTATTTCCCCATGAAAATGGCCGATCTCTCTTCCTCTCTTAAATCATTATAAGTCAATTACACATGTTCACAATTTAACAGACAAACCGGAATTATATTGCATAAGAATTTTAGTTTTCTTCTTTTTCAAATTAGCCGCTGTTGATCAGAAACAAAAGATACGTTGTTTGTTCGAATTATAGCGTTGAAAAATAGATTATGATGAATTGCAAATGAAAATTGATAGTTTCAATCAAAGAATTATAGTTATGAACTTCTACTTTTAGATATAGGTTAAGCAGCTGTTCCATCGTGTACACGCAAAATATTCAAGCTGATGCTTCTTTTCATTGAGAAAATGTTCGACTGTCTAATTAGAAACTGTATAGTCATCCAAGTGTCATCATGTAGACAGAATGTTCCTCTCTTATAATTTAGAGCAAATAATCAATTCACAGATTATTAGAACATAGAAAGTAACTACAACAGAATAAAATGTTTTCAAAATGTTCATAATCGTCATTATGTGATATCGAACATCTCCTAAAATTATGTTTACATCAATCTTAGAACATATTCAATGTTAGAGTCTGTCAGATTCAAAATTTTCGAATTCGACACAGAACCATCACAACAGACTCTATTTGATGTTACTGTGTGAAATTATGTTTTTTCTAAATAATCGCAATATTTATTTATGAATTTATTTTCTTTCTAATTTTGTATAAGAGCAACACTTCTCTATGACAAGAACTCTTTCTCTAGATGAAAACTATACAATTTCTAATTAGACAATAGCACATCTGCTTAACTAATGCAAACTAAAACGTTTCAAAGAATTATTACACAAAATTATATGCATTTCATCCTCTATCTTATCTTTTAGCTGATTTCAGACTCTCAGCAGGAGTAAATGATCTTATATATTTGACTCTTTATGATTATATCAGTAATATAACATCAATCTCTTGAGTGGTAATATCATATTTTGTTGCACCCCTGTAAATTTCAACTCATTAAAGAGATCAGATAGTCTACCTTTGATGAATGAATTCAATTGTTTTGAAATACGTATGATTAAATCTAGATTCTTTTAATTTAAAGTTGGATTTTTATACAGAAAACAAAAAAAAAAAACACCAACGTTCAAAATTAAATCACGATAGAAAATCTTTTTTAATATGT